GCTAATGATTAGTCTAAAGCACTCCACAGACTAGAACATATATACATATGTGTCAAAAATCAAACTAGACGAGAGTATAAATCAATCTATATTATAGACTATATAACAGTCTACAGATTTATATATAAAATATAAAGTATAGATCGGTCTATGGCATATATTAACTATAGATTCCACCTATTGATCAATCGAAACTATTCATACATCGATATGTATTTATGTAGTATAAAGTATAGATATAATATAGGGTATAAATTGCTCTCTAATTCAAATATTATACGTAGAATTTTGACCAATAATATTTATGTTATAAATCTCTAGTAGTATCATATTTAAATATACAAATAATCTTCCCGGTTGCCGATGTAAAATCAAATCTTTTACCTTTACCCTCTATTGACGGCAAAGTTTACAAAGAAATCTGAAGCAAACAATCAAATACAAATAAAGCTTAATTTTCTAATACATTCAAACACGCACAAAACACACATGAACACAATTTAGTCCTTTATAATATAACAGTTGTAAAGCCACAGTAAATAAAATCAGATCCTAAGAAAAATAAAGCAGTATACGTAAATAAATTGATGAGAAAATTAAAAATTAGTATAACATTTAATTACACAAATACATGTATACATGTATGTGTGCACACAAAATCAGGCATATATTTGGCAAACAAACAACACATGATGATACAAAGAAAATCCTCAAGAAAAAAGTAAACTTCTAATGTTTGAAATTTTGCATTTAAGATGTTTGCAAATGAAGCAACAAAAAAAACAAATAACGTTAATTTTTATGTCTGTTCATAAAGACAACATTAAAACCTGAAAATACAGAAATAAGACAGTCATGAAAATTATTGGCAAAAAGGAAAAGTAAAGAAAAGAAACTGATTAAGGAAAATTTCGACAATTTTTTCTTTATTTATATTTTTTGTGTGTTTTCGCACTTTTTTCACATAATGTGTTTGTATGTATGTATTAGTTAGTAGAGGTTTTATCAAGGTACGTGCAAACAATAAGATTAACTGTTTGTTTTGTTAGAGCAGGAATTCTTAAAGCTTTACTGACAGAATCTGTATAATATGCAAAAGTATCCCTATTTAAATTAATATATTGTGAATCTCTATATATTATTTCCTACACTGAATACCAACAACAAAATTTGTTAAAAACAAATAAAAAACGAAACGAATAAAAAAGAATCAAAGGAAAAGCGCAAAAGGAAATGTTCATTTAATGTTAGGAAATCAGTTTAGTTTTTCTATAATTTTACGAAAAAGAAAACGGTATCAGGCAAAAAGAAAAATCACGCTAATTTAAATGATTTCAATATCTTCTTTTTTCGCACCCTTCCATTCATTTCCCCAACAAACATGAATAAAAAAGTTTTTATCGTATTTAACTGAAAAATTTATTTATAAATAAGTTTCTAGAATATACATTACTGTAATGCTGGTGAAATACACTTCATTTGTAAATACAGCTGTAAAACTATGAAATAGTCTATTGTCCAGACTATAGATTAGTCTATGGTCCAGGCTGTAGCTTAGTCTATAGTCCAGAGTATAGATTAGTCTATAGTCCAGAATATAGATTAGTCTATCGTCCAGACTATAGATTTATCTATAGTCCAGACTAGTCTATAGTCCAGACTATAGACTAGTCTATAGTCCAGACTATAGACTAATCTATAGTCCAGACTACAGATTAGTCTATAGTCCAGAATATAGATTAGTCTATCGTCCAGACCATAGATTTATCTATAGTCCAGATTATAGAATTATCTATAGTCAGGACTAGTCTATAGTCAAGACTATTGACTAGTCTATAGTCCAGACTATAAACTAATCTATAGTCCAGACTATAAACTAATCTATAGTCCAGACTATAAACTAATCTATAGTCCAGACTATAGACTAATCTATAGTCCAGAATATAGATTTATATATAGTCCAGACTATATATTTTTCTATAGTGTAGACTATAGATTTTTCTATAGTGTGGACTATAGATTTGTCTATAGTCTATACTACAGATTTGTCTATAATCCAGACTAAAGATTAGCCAATAGTTCAGACTATAATCCAGACTATAGATTAGTCTGTAGTCATTACTAAGTATAAATTAGTAAATATTCCAGATTATATTCGAGACTATAGATAAGTCGATAATACAGACTATGGATTAGACTATACTCCTGACTATAGATTGGTCTATAGTTCAGACAATAGATTAGTCTATAGTCCAGACTATAGATTGGTCTATAGTCCAGACTAAGGATTGGTCTATAGTCCAGACTATGGATTGGTCTATAGTCCAGACAATAGGTTAGTCTAAAATATCGTCCAAATTTGTTTCTGTAGTCTCTTTTGTTTTCATACCTTAGTAAAAACTCTTAATATTCTCTTCTCCAGAGTAGCGTAGGTCTTAAACACGAATCAACAAAGTATGGTATGAAAGGATGTAAATATATAAATTTTTTGAAAACATTAAAGAACAACTAAATGTAATAAAATAAAGTACTTAGGAAAAGGGTCAATGCATAAAAACATAAAGTTTGAAAAGGGTGTCATTAAAATAACGGAAATTTATATTTTCTTTGCTCCATTTAAGATATATTTAATAGTTGTTTGGGGAATTGAAAATCTGTATGTAACAGACATACAATATTCTGGGTACTTGTGTTCTTTATACGAACTTCAATTCCGCTATTAAAATCCAAATTCAATGAGAAGTCTTTGCATTTTATAGGAACCCTAAATGTTTACAATAAATATTTCCACAATAACATTTTTTTTTAGGTTTTGCATATTTCATATTTGAGCCTTCTGTGTGATCGTTATTTCATGACTAACTTTGAATTCAGGGTGATGGTTATAAAAATTCCAGCCATTAAAAATATCAATATCTGTAACATTTGTATAACAAAAGAAAAATCTATCAATTACAAAAATTAATTTTTGTTAAGTGGCTTTTAGCTAGTGGTTTTATGTGGGAAACACATTTTTTGCTTAAAAGCAAAATGCAGGGTGGAACATATGAAATGAAACAAATTCGGAAAAAAATGTATAGAAACATTTTAATATTTGACATAGATCCGTTGGCAGACCGGTCTCAGTTAGTGATTTATTAAAAAACACATGTTTGATTTGCCAACGCCACAACAAATATTAAAACTTTGTACACTTTATTATCATTTATACTGTAATCATGTTACCTTCTATTTCTTTGCCAAGGCTATACAATGGTGAAAACGAAAAAAAAATACTTTTTAATACTTATGTCAGGTCATATATAAGCATTGACAGTAATTATTATAATGGCCCTTAAACCAGCAATATTGAAAATGTTAAGATGAAAAAAATCAAAAGCAAAGAAAAATATTAAATCTAGTCGAATCCAAATTCGACAAAAAAGTTTCCTTTTAAGTAAGAAAATTAATACTTACAGTTATATGTATTATGCTTTAAATGTAAATCAAATCCCAAAGGAACAGTTTCATAATACTCGAGAGATTTTATTTAACAATTAAAGTAATTGTAATGTTTTTTTTTCTAGTATAACAAAATTTTTCACTTGCAATATTAAAGATATACCATTGCGGCAAAAAGCACTTAAGTTGATTTTTTTTTAAATATTAGCAATGTTATTTTTTGGTAATATACTAATATTTAAATTCTTATGAAATCACTTATACGTCCTTCTGTCTGCATAAGAAAAAGGAGATTAGCACAAACATTATTGCTGGTAAAAAAGGTTAGGTGTAATAAAGTAAGATATCTCGAAGAAAGATATTACAAAGATTTAGAGAAGATACATATAAAATAGATTATTTTAAATTCGACTAAGATGACAAAAAAATTTATATAAACAAAGATGTGTTACGCTATTGATATGGACCATATCTGACTTTTTAAAGTTTTTGTACACAATATCTTGAAAACCGGATGTGTACTTTGGTCTCTGGTTTTCAAATTTTACTGGTCTGTGTAACTAATATATTTATGAGTATTTCAACAGTATACCTGGAGGTCACAAGTACAAACAACAATAGGTGGAAAGACAGACACTATATAGATATGTGGCTTTCAAAACAAACGGACGAACATGTCTAGATCACATTAGAATGTAATAAAAACCTAAAATAAATATACTTTTCTGGATCAGTTTTTGACCTTTAACAATGTCCATCTATCCCATATTAAACAATTTCGTCACTGGTAAGACCATTTGCCCCATTTCCCATATCGCCATACTTTAAATTTCCTTAAACTTATTTCAACACCACTAAATAAAATTCCTTAAAAAAAATCTCCCTAAAACAATTAAAAATCATACTTTCACTCTATAAAACTTTACATTGATTTCCTTTACAAATCGAAAACTTTAATGATCCACTCAAAAAGTTTTTTTCATATTTTTCCTCATACACTCAACAGCTGCTGCTGTAATACGGAAGAAAAAAATAAACCTTAATAAAATATAGAAAAAAAATTATAAATGATGTTATATAGAGGGTCTTGTTAAAAATAATGACCTTCAACAAGTGTTGTTAAAAATTAACCTTAAAAAAAAACATTTCTCAATATTTCAGCAACATCAATAATTTAAACTATATACTATGTATTTGTTAAGACCTTGCACGTTGCAGTAAACCTGAAAACAGCCATTTTTATATTAAGACTAATAGAATTTTATATTTTATTAAATTACAATCTTCTTTTGATGTTTACTTATCTGTATACATATATAAAAATAACAATTTGTTAAATGTTAAATGTAATTTTATTTAATAAGTTCAAAAAAATCAACATGTTACAAACATGTTATAATAAATTAAATTAAAACAGATTTCAATGAAATGTCAAACATTTAAAAATAATAATCTCATATATTACAGCTGATGTTTTATAGGTAGTTACACATAATCTACTTAATATTGTATATAATTAGAATTAAAAAATAATAACTTTTTTTAAAAATTCATTTCAGAGTGATGTATTCGATGAAATTGATTTATCAGACTTATGTACAGCTGAGTGTAGTATTAAAAACGTAAATCATAGTTTTCAGGTGAGTTTATTTGCTGTTTTATAATTTAAACTAATTAATAGCGAACTTTAAAAATACAAGTATTATCATATCTTTTAGCTTCATTAGAACGGTATACATAATTTTGCTATTCCGTTTAAAATTTTTATGGGTAATTTCATGTCAAGTGACCCAATTAAAAAAAACGATTTGGATGAAATTTTAAATTTTAGGGGCTAAAAGCTAGTCAGTTAGATAAGTTAGCTTTGTCTTGGAGTCTCAATTAAGTGGCTTAAAGTCACTAATAAACTCATGTATGCTAAGCATGATATTGGGGATTAAAAGTTACAAAACTCAGTTCCTGACATACATAGGTATATCTCGCTAACTGTATTCTAAAGATTTCAGATGCTACAACATTTTTGTTGACAATTAAATTTTATACATTTTAGTTGAAAACTAAATTCATTATACCCTACACCACTGTAATAAGGAGGGTATTATGCGATTTTGCTGATGTTTGCAACACCCTGGAATATTGATCACAATCACTTTCTGAGTTAGTTAGGTAGTTAGTTAGTTAGTTAGTTAGTTAGTTAGTTAGTTAGTTAGTAGTTAGTTAGTTAGTTAGTTAGTTAGTTAGTTAGTTAGTTAGTTAGTTAGTTAGTTAGTTAGTTAGTTAGTTAGTAGTTAGTTAGTTAGTTAGTTAGTTAGTTAGTTAGTAGTTAGTTAGTTAGTTAGTTAGTTAGTTAGTTAGTTAGTTAGTTAGTAGTAGTTAGTTAGTTAGTTAGTTAGTTAGGTTAGTTAGTTAGTTAGTTAGTTAGTTAGTTAGTTAGTTAGTTAGTAGTTAGTTAGTTAGTTAGTTAGTTAGTTAGTTAGTTAGTTAGTTAGTTAGTTAGTTAGTTAGTTAGTAGTTAGTTAGTTAGTTAGTTAGTAGTTAGTTAGTTAGTTAGTTTAGTTAGTTAGTTAGTTAGTTAGTTAGTTAGTTAGTTAGTTAGTTAGTTAGTTAGTTAGTTAGTTAGTTGTTAGTTAGTTAGTTAGTTAGTTAGTTAGTTAGTAGTTAGTTAGTTAGTTAGTTAGTTAGTTAGTTAGTTAGTTAGTTAGTTAGTTAGTTAGTTAGTAGTTAGTTAGTTAGTTAGTTAGTTAGTAGTTAGTTAGTTAGTTAGTTAGTTAGTTAGTTAGTTAGTAGTAGTTAGTTAGTTAGTTAGTTAGTTAGTTGTTAGTTAGTTAGTTAGTAGTTAGTTAGTTAGTTAGTTAGTTAGTTAGTTAGTTAGTTGTTAGTTAGTTAGTAGTTAGTTAGTAGTTAGTTAGTTAGTAGTTAGTTAGTTAGTTAGTTAGTTAGTTAGTTAGTTAGTTAGTTAGTTAGTTAGTTAGTTAGTAGTTAGTTAGTTAGTTAGTTAGTTAGTTAGTAGTTAGTTAGTTAGTTAGTTAGTTAGTTAGTTAGTTAGTTAGTTAGTTAGTTAGTTAGTTAGTTAGTTAGTTAGTAGTTAGTTAGTTAGTTAGTAGTAGTTAGTTAGTTAGTTAGTTAGTTAGTTAGTTAGTTAGTTAGTTAGTTAGTTAGTTAGTTAGTTAGTTAGTAGTTAGTTAGTTAGTAGTTAGTTAGTTAGTTAGTTAGTAGTTAGTTAGTTAGTTAGTTAGTTAGTTAGTTAGTTAGTTAGTTAGTTAGTTAGTTAGTTAGTTAGTTAGTTAGTTAGTAGTTAGTAGTTAGTTAGTTAGTTAGTTAGTTAGTTAGTTAGTTAGTTAGTTAGTTAGTAGTTAGTTAGTTAGTTAGTTAGTTAGTTAGTTAGTTAGTTAGTTAGTTAGTTAGTTAGTTAGTAGTAGTTAGTTAGTTAGTTAGTTAGTTAGTAGTTAGTTAGTTAGTTAGTTAGTTAGTAGTTAGTTAGTTAGTTAGTTAGTTAGTTAGTTAGTTAGTTAGTTAGTTAGTTAGTTAGTTAGTTAGTTAGTTAGTAGTTAGTTAGTTAGTTAGTAGTTAGTTAGTTAGTTAGTTAGTTAGTTAGTAGTTAGTTAGTTAGTTAGTTAGTTAGTTAGTTAGTTAGCTAGTTAGTTAGCTAGTTAGTTAGCTAGTTAGTTAGCTATTTAGTTAGTTAGTCTTTATGCCAGTTTAAAATACTATTGAGCTTAAATATAAGAAGAAATTTCTAAAATTTGGATCAACATTTTTTGATCCCATAACGGTCTCTTCTAGAAATTTAGTCTTTCTACAGCACTTTAAGAAAATCATTAATTGCGAATTTGTATTTGCAATATCTTTGATTCCATGTCAATTTCTGGAAAAAATTTTTACTTAATTACTTTCATCAAAGTATCGTGTGGAATTTAATTCTCAATATATCGCATAGACCCAGAAATTTAAAGAAATTATATTGTGTAAAAGGACATGAATAAGTCGGATAATATTTAAAAAGTTTTATATATTTTAATAAATTATGCACTACTGGGTATTAAAAATAACCTTCGTATCTCTTTCTGCATATACACCACAACATTGCAATACAAAGTTTTAAAAAAAAGTTCGTCCTTTACATTTTACCACCAGTTAATGTAGCAAATTGAAATATTTCTTTTATGAAACTTTCTTTCACAATATATTTTACTTAAAAACCCCACTTTTGTATCTTTAAGTATCAGCATTCTAAAGAAATGTGAGGAATACTATAATATTTAATATCAAAGGTCAGTTTGTTTTTTTGTTTTGGTATGAAAAAATTCTTAATTTAAGCTTAGTGTTATAGACACTAACCGTAATAAAAAATTTTTTCTCATTAACACTATCTAAAACTACCTTTAAATAATGTTTTATTTTTTTATGTTCTTTTCCTATGCTTTATAATTATTTTTATATGTAGTTTAATAAACTTTTGCTTGAAATGTTCAAACAACAAAATCTTATCTAGTTGCAGGAATACAAATAAACTGGTAATAAAACAACCAGTAGTAGCTAGTTATAATATTAATATTTGCTTTTTTTATGCTTGTATGTCTAGTATGTATTAAGTTTCATGCTTCTAAGTATATCCTTATTTGGTTCCTTGAAAATAAAATTGTTAACAAGTTGTTATACTTTACAATATATATGTTTTTTATTGCTATATTTTCTTAGAAAAAGTTTAAATTTTTTATGGCAAATGGTTTAAGTTTACCTACTTATACATGTAGAATACAATAAGTATATTATTTTTCGATTGCTAGCCATCTTTTCAAATTTTTGCATATTTTCCTTTCAATAAGTAAAAGAATTTGTCTAAAATATACCGGTAACTCCAGTCTATGTGTGAGTGTAAGTTGTGGCATGCCAAAAGAAAAAGGTTACCACATGGCAACAGGATATTAGTATTATTATATTCAACCTTAAAAAGTAAGATAAGAAGTACAAAGTACATGTACAATTTGGTTTAACAACAATTTCATTTTGTATGTTAACAAAAAAAAATTTGCCTAATTTTTTTGAAAATGTTCCTGTTTTTTTTTTTTTTAATAATGGTTATATAGACATGAATTTGTTGAAAATATTTTAGAATGTTAATAAACAAATGTATTTATTAGGGAAATTTTTTATATTGTTAGAAGAAAATAATGAAAATATTTGTTTTTTTATTATTATTCGCTGTGAGTTTACTTTAAAGTAATCAACTTAATGATTTAGCGAATAAAAAGAAAAGATGTAAGATTAAGAATTTAATTGAAAATAATAATATTTATTATAAACAAACTGTATACATTAAATTAATACGACTAAAAATATTTATTAAAAAATATGTTTCTATATTATTCTTTATTCATTTAGCCAGGAAAATTAGTTTAAAAAATTAGCATTCTGAGAGCTATCTAAAGCTTAATGAAAGTTGTTACAGTGCTTTGTCTTGGAGCCTCAATTAAGGGGCTAAAAGTCACCAATAAACCCATGTACGCTAAACGAGATATTGGGGATCAAAGGATACATAAATCAGTTTCTTACATATATCTCGCTAACTGTATTCTAAAGATTTCAGATACTATTCGACAATTATATTTCATACATTTTAGTTGAAAACTTACCTTACACCCCTTTTAGAGTATTATGCGCTTGTGCTGATGTTTGTAACAGCCAAATATATTGATCCTACATCCACTTTAAAGTACACCAATCGACTCAGAATCACTAAGTCGATGAAGTTATGTCTGTCCGTCTGTCTGTCTGTCTATCTGTCTGTCTGTCTGTCTGTCTGTCCGTCCATCCGTCTGTCTGTCTGTCTGCGTCTTCATGTAAACCTTGTGCGCACGCTACAAGTCGCAATTTTCAAGATAATTTAATGAAATTTGGCACATGCTCTTCTCTTGGCCCAGGGACCTATTTAAAATGGGTGAAACTGATCCATTATTTCGCCTAGCCCTCATACAGCCGTAGATTTAGATTTACAAAAATATAAATGTTACTTCCTATTTTCGCAATGAACGGGCCTCAGAAAATGACTTGAAGGTGGAAATTAACTTTTAAATACTATCACGATGGAACTCTGCATAAATAACTTTAATTTGGATAGGACCATATTGCCCCCTATAAACCATCATTCAGAAAATAACTTTTTTGGCCACAAATCGTTAAAATATTTCGGAATTAAGTTAAAATTCTTTATTAATAGAAAAATACACCACATTTGTAACATACTCACTGGTGTAGGTTATTACATGTTTGGACATGCCCGACTATACATTCTTATTTGTTTTGTTTTTAATTTTGGAAAATTTGAAAAGAGTTTCTACATTAATCTTCAAGGCTTCAAGTATTTAATGATACTAAATAATTGTATAAATATTTCATATTCTTCTAGTTTATGCCATATTTTTCCAAAAGTTTAACGTTTTTAAATTCTTTTTTTTTTTAAATAAACAAAATTTATTATTCAATTATATTATGTATATTTTATCTTTACCACATGTCAATGCTGTGCAGAATTTCCAAGTGTTAATTTAAAATTCATATCTGTATGATAATTAAAATAGTCATTAAAAATACTAAACATTTCCTTATTAAAAAATATCCATAAAAATTATCCTGCAGATAT